ACATCATGAAAATTAAACCTTATTTTCAATAAGCAATCCTGAAAAATATTTGGGGGTGCTTAACTTTTTTCCAGGTGTATATATATTGTTCATCTCTTCTTCTGTGAAACATTCAAATACAGATATTCCTACCAGTTTCTTCATCTGGTAATTTTGTTATATGTAGTACATATATTGGTCATCTCTTCTTCTGTGTAACATTCAAACACAGATATTCCTGCCAGCCTCTACTTGACCAATTTGCTTTTCTTATCTCTGGTTTCTGCAATTTTGGTTTGTATTGTGTAAAGGTTATGTTGTTGTTTTTCTAGTCCTGTTCCTTTAATTTTTTGTTAATGTATTTTCAATTAATTTTAAATGATTTCTTAAATATAAATTAGCATTATTTTCAGCCAGTATATAAGTGATGTTGTTTTGATTGCCTTTCACATATGTATGTAGCAAACTGTGTCTATATCCCACTAGGAAGTTAATGAAGTTGTACAGAAGATGTCTGGAACAGATAAACCTGTGCCTATTTTGATAGAGGAAGAAAAGACTCCCGAGTCCCAGATGCGACGTCTGCTTTTCTCCCTTCAGCTAAGACTTAAAGTAAGTTATAATTACAATTTATGTTTGATTGCAGAAATAGTATCACAGAAACAAGTATCACGGCTGAACATAAAGATGAGAATTGAAGGTTCAGTCAGTTGAATGATGTAAGCAATTTATTTGAGAATCCTCACTTCATGTAGAAAGTTTGTGAAACAACTGTTGATCTGATTTTCAGGGTATACAAATCACAGCAACTACTCCAACCAGCAGTGCTGTGAGACTTGAAACTGGCACAGTAGAATTACAACTGTCGAATCGTGTCCAGAACCTCTCTGCTGGAGGGACTAGTGGAGGTGAGGTTTTTTTGACTCCACCCAGTGGCATTTAATTTTTGTTTAATAAATTTGTTATCCAAGCAGAATATCTATATAATTATTACCAGAGAAAAGTGATGTTTTAAACAAACTTTATTTTGTGTGTCTAAATTAATGACGTATCTTTAATGTTAATGAACGTTTTTTAAGAGGATTGTAACACGGTGAAAGCTGGTAACTTGATTGATGTATTGGACTTTACTTTTTCTTTAGTATTTTAAACAGCTGAATAGTTCACAAGAATAAGTTGGTTATTCTTGAAATTCTTTTTAAACAGGATTACTTGTGAGTAAAAGATATCAAAAGACCATACGTATGCACATCTTTATATTAACAATAACTCGGAGAGATCAACATACATTCTATTTTCATTAAAATTATAACAAAAAGAACTTTAGATAGATTATTAACTCTTTCAGCATGGACTTGGTCCAGGGACCAACTTTGTAACCACCATAAAAAATTAGGAAATAAATATAAATTATGCTTTTTCATTCGAGAATGACAATTGATTATTCTAAATAGCTTAAATCTCAGAACATTATACATCTATGTTTATTTATTATTTATATTTTATTGACCTACATTACAGAAGTTGCAATGATGTGGCACATGTGCATTCGTGTTATTGTATCTAAGAATATATATATATATATACATTATTACTATTTACAAATAAGTTCTTAAATTTATTTTTCTTAAACATAGAACAATAAATAAAGAAGTATAACAAACAATTATCCCTTCTGGTACAAACTTTGTACTTGTTTACTGCTTGCTGTAAGTTG